CCTAGGTCAGCACCATAATAGTAATGCATTTCTGCATAATCTCGCGACGAATATGAAATGATTCTTCTCAGATGCCAACTGTTAGATACAAATTCCGCGCTGGACATTGCCTGACATAGCAATTTCGGTCGGACCGAAGATTGAACGCTCCCGCACCAAGCTCATTAAGCTGATCAGGCTACTTGCGTAGAAAATACGCCATTTTGATTTTACAAAATATTAATACATACTGTATATCACTCGCACTGCTGGGACGAATCTAACAGTACCTCATATGTCAAAATTCATCTAGTCGTTTGGACTGTAGCTCGTAAAACAGAATTTCTTGTTTACATGTATATATACCCACCTGCATCAAACATACAGATTTTTTAAGGTGAGGCATTTATCGTAGCAAGCTGAAATTTTCAGGGCTTATTCTACATTGATTGGAATAGTTTGTACAATAAAATGAATAATGAAATACAACCTCAAGTTTTTTTAACGCCCTCCACAGATGAGGGATGGAAGAGATTTTTCACAAAAAACTAAATTTAGGATTTTTGAATTTATGTCTAATAAGCTATGTTAAAAAGTGACATAGCCATTGTTAAAACTAACCATTTAGCTCATCTAAAAAAAATCACAGTTTTAAACCTAATGGTTTAGTTGTTTTCGAAATTTCACAAAATAACAAATATCTCCTGAAATATAAAATTTCGGACCATACATATAGGAGTTCATTCGATAGGTTTTGAGGCCCTCTATCACCTGACTTCCGTTGATCTGCTACTAACTTTACACCCTGTATATACTTTGAAGTTGAGTCATTAATTTTCAGATAATGATTGTAGAAGGAAGGTAAACCAAAATATGTGTGTAAAAATTAAAAAAAAAATTTACCTTGTTTTATAAAGTATCCTCCCGACAAGTTTTTCAGTGCGGACCTGTATTTGATCGTGCGGTCTTGGAGCACCGCCATGCCCTCCCCTGTGAGGTCTTAAGTCACCTGATTCACGAGCCCTTTGTACTACATTAACAAAGGCACGAGGGGTTGGTTGCACTCAATTGGGAAACCGATTCGCATAAATCCGTGATGCCGCGGCAGCAATTTGTAAAGACTCCCCCCGTAAATAAGAATCATGTTCAGCATTTTCGTAAACATGTGCCATTTTTTATTTCGTTTGAGCCACGCAACAAACACCACTATTCACGCACGCCTTACCGACTGACACATTGACTGAATGCAACTGAATAAAATTGTAGTAAAAACATCGTGATAAATCTTTCAAATTCTTTCGCTTTTTTGTTTCCGATGCGATGAACCGATAAGGCGGATTATATCCGTTGTTGCCAAACACGAGCACATAATATTATTATTGAGACAGGGCGGTACTCAAACTTCTAAAGGGCTATAACTTTGTTACTTTAATTTTACCAGAAAAATGTTAAAGGAAAAAACATTTCTTTTGATCAGATCTACTCACTGTTGAAATAAATGACTCAACTTCGAAGTCACCCTGTATAATAGCAGCGATGCACGATCCACAATGGTCGATTCGCGCTATCTCATACTGATAAACCGTACCTCCAGTATAGAGGATCATTGTGATGCTTACGTTTGTTCGTCCTGAGATAAGAGACAAAACCTATACCATGCTGATGAGTAGCTAAGAAGCACGAAATAGCTGTCCATGGTTGGCTGTCTTTTTTTGGTCGGACGGATGAAAGCATCTTGTTTAATCTTTAAGTTACTTATTCTAAAAATCCAGTGGGTCGACGAAGTTATTAACTTTTTGGTACTATAATAATTTAACAAGGAAAAGGGAATATTGCTTATCATTTTATTGGCAACTGAAATCAAAACTTCCTATTATTACTGTAATATTTACAGTACCACCCAAGAAATGCAATATTAGTAAAATAATATACCTTCCTGAACGACATACATATCTGATATTACCTAACGTTATATACCCATTACCAAAAACAAAATAACAAAACACCTTGTGCTGCATTATCGTGCGTGTCAGCTGTCACTTGAGATAATAGTAAAAATAATTATCCTACGAGAATAACAACTGGCAGTTTTTATTCCACGAAGTCGACTTTGTGAAAGTTATCAATATTTAACTTTCGATTGTTTGCATCTTTATGATACCAATAGCTGTCAATCATCCTTTTTTTCACTCCCATTTAAAACGATACTATCGATGAAAAGTGAAAACGTATCTGAGTCTGCAGGGATATAATTAGACTGCTTAATGAAAGTGCTTAGTTTTTTGTGAAGCATTTTGCAGATCAGTGTTCAGATGTATTTAGTCCTGAAATATAATTAACGTTACACAACAAAGCAAGGGAAACGAGGCTTTTGGAATCTACCGTTGATTTCAGGGAAAAATTACAGGTTCGTGATCTCCGCATCTGACTTATCTAAGAAAAAAAATTGGTTCGATAATGCAGATACTAAAACACTTTTGAAAGTCTGCTACATCTTTAAACTTTAAAAGTTTCATAATGCGAATGTCCATTTTCATCTTCTGTACCTGCAACATTTCTTTCGTCGATCTCATCAAAAAGCTGACATCAGATTAGCGATTAGTACACCAAAGCAGCCGCACATGTGCTATGAGGAACATAACGAAACTTTGATTTGATTTTTGAACTGCCCAAGGTTGGTAGGTCTGGGAAAAGCCTCCTCATGGGGATTGTTCCAAAGTCTCGATACCATAGGGACAAACTAGCGGTCGTATCGGCCAGTCCTGGATGTTTGAAGTCCCACAGGGTTAGGATGGTAGGCCAAAGTTAGGCGGGTCTGTCTGGCAGGCACATCGCGTGGCGGCATCAAGGTAATCATCGGACAGATATTAGAATATAAATAAGCGTGGTCTCTATGATCAAATCTGCATCTTGTATCGTCAATTGAGGCCTGGCAAAGGAGCAAATTGTTCACTGTCAGATCAAGAATAAATATTTCTCTCCATCTAGCGCGTGGAGCTACTCGTATAATCACGGACCTAGCGAATAAGTGCAATTTTTCTTATATTCGCCTAAAAGACTACAACAAGTATGCATGGTCTTCTTAATTTATTTGTTATACTATACAAGGTGTCCTCAAAGTTAGGACTTTCCTTCACAGAGCTTACAAGTTAGAAAATAATAAGCAAGTTTTCCTAGAAAGACGTATACCAATGCCTTATGATAAACGAACCCAACCGTGGCCTCCCTCCCCCCTCCTCCTCCTCCTCGTCCTCGTCCTCATCCTTGAAAAGGTATGCTGTTGTATGGTACTTTGTGAGTCAGTACCCAAAGCAGGCGCCGCGCGGTGTGTAGGTTAACCTAGTATATGAAAAAGACGCATTTGAAAAACCGAAATTGGCACATTGCTAGAACAATAACACTGTGAACGATTTGACATTAGTTATTGTAATTAAGATCATATTGATACTCAGCGAGTGTATTAAAAACGTCCTCGATGTTTCCACCAGAGCTGCATAGGTTTGTTTATATCATGCAAAAGCCGCCTGGATGGACACAGGAGGCATTTAAGGGCAAGTGAACAAACTCGTGTTTTTGAATCTAAAAGCGGCGACTTCAAGCATTATTCAAAAACAAAACATGTGACTGTGCTGTACTTGAAACTCTTTACCAAATGAATTTCTTTTTACGTTTTCGGTGCTGTTTTACCGCAAATCAGTTTGTTATGTTGAAAGTAGTTGTTTCTGAGAAGTAAAGTCCCAACTTTCAGGACAGCCTGTATAGCAGAGAGCAGACATCGAAGGACGCGAAGTTGATTCGCCAAAACGGCGTGGAGACAAAACGGCAAAATGTCCAACGCCGATGCCCCACCGCTGCCGCGTCCTGATACTGCACGATATGTGCGATAATTTGTCACGGAGCGACCGAGGACCGGCATCGTATGTGTTCCAGGACGTATGTTCGAGGATTCGGGGCAACCGTCGCCGATGGCCAGCCTTGAATAATAGGATGTCCGCACGCTGCCAACTCGAAATCTGGTCACTGCTGTGTGAGCACAGCCCCACAGCCCGCCCGTCCGTCTGCAGCCTGATGCACATTTTGGCCCTGCTGCCCTTTAGTGCAGGAAAAATATAGCTTGAAATTATTGTGTAGCCGGGAGCAATGCCCCCACCTGTCTCAAAGAAAATTGGGGCGAACTAGTAGCCTGGATTTTGGTGAGTACGGTCTGCAGCCTGCATATTCTAGTTATGTCGCAAGAATGCTCGTATACATATAGTTTTCTAAAGTTGGTTCATAAACGCAGTATCTATGTGAAATATGAGAGCAATGAAGAGTGTTCATCAAGTCAATGAAGGCGTACTGAACACTCTAACCCAGGAGTTTCCAACCAGGGGGCGCGCCTCCCAAGGGGGGCATAGAGAGATGTCAAGGGGAGCAGAAAGCGATTGCATTTTAGAATAAAATAAACAAACAACATTAATAAATAACATTACAAAGTCACTTACAAAATAATTGTGTACCTAGCAGACGCGGATGAGCATCTGTGACATTCATTCCCACAAACTTGCGACAAATTTGGCATTTCGATGTACAAGTTTTGTTGAAAAATCTGTTTGAGTGTGTCAAATTATTGTGTCTCACTGTTAAAAGGTAACTTTGTGTATTTACAAACTTCAGTTACCATTTTTATTTAATTTACTAAATTGATTGAGTGGAGACGCGTTCATAGATCGGCCATTGGGACTTTTTTCCTACATCACAATCAAACCAAGGTGGCGAAATGATTTTGAAACGACGAACTTTCAGCACCTAATATTGATTCCAAATGTATTTAGGATTACTATTATAACGTCAACCTGCCTACAAAAATATAAATATCCCGGTGGCCAATATACTGTTGAATACATTACGTTATTAAGATAAAATAATGGGCATATAATTAGTAATTACATATAGGTATTTCGCTTATTTATTTATTACTTATTTTTTTTAGTGTTATAGGTGCAAAATGGCAGCGAAAAACAAAATAAAGTTTTCCGTAGATTTCGTTAAGTTTGGATTTACCTTCAAAGAAAAAGACGAGTTACAATTGCCTCAGTATGTGATATGTATGAAAGTTTTAAGTAATGATAGCATGAGGCGCAACCGCCTTGAAAGGCATTTGAAGCAACAACATCCAACTCTGGGTTTTTTCTTCTAAAGCAGAATCACTCAAGCGGATGAGACTGGATACATCGAGAAGTTATCACACAGGTGTATCGCAGCATCTCAAAGCTTCATTTGAAATAGCTTTTATGATAGCAAAGCAAAAGAAACATTATACTATTGGCGAAGAATTAATAAAACCATGTGTCCTAAAAGCCACGCAGATAATTCTAGGAGAAGATGCAGAGCAAAAAATGAAGTATATTTCTCTTTCGAATAACACAGTCAAGCGTAGAATCGATGACATTGCAGCAGACATAAAGTCACAAATAATTAACAAAGTAAAATTATCGCCATTTTTTGCCGTTAGTTTCGATGAATCCACCGACATCGCTGATTGTGCACAGTTAATAGTTTATGTGCGTTACATCGGCGGAGATATCATTCAAGTAGAGATTTTGTACTCCCAATCTTTGTCAGTAGTTACTACATCTGAAGATATATTTAATTCAATATCACATTTTGTTGCAAAGAATGACTTGGATTGGAAGAAACTCATTGGACTTTGCATAGATGGCGCACCTGCAACGATAGGTGTACGATCGGGTTTAGCTAAAAAGCTCAAGGAAAAAAATCACCCAATGGTTAGTACACATTGGCTTCCAAAACATTACCACAGACTTTGGACTCGGCTATAAGGATTGTAAACTACATCAAGAGTAGCGCTTTGAAAAGTCGGTTATTTACGTTACTTTGCGAGGATCTCGATTATGATCACAAAGTTCTTCTGATGCACAGAACAAAAGGAAAGCGATTATTTTTCTAAAATTGATGACCAATAAACAAAAGAATGGTTCATCATCTGACTGGCAAACCGTGCCTTTCTTTTTTTTCACACGGCATAAACGAAACAGAATTTGCGAACTGTTATAACCTAACTTCTATTCGCGCAGATATGGGATATATTTTCAAAATATATTTCGCTCACCATTAGTAATGGCAAATTTGCAAAAATCGCACCAAGGAATAAAAGAAATACTTTCAAAACTGGACGAACATGATGTTATTGCTTTAGCAAGTACAGACACACAGGGGTTACTGAAGGTTGCTTCAGTTGATGGTAAAATAAAATAAAACTAGCATCAGGCAAATTCAAATTTCAATAACTTTTAGAGGCAGTCAATGGAATACTTAAGCATTCACCTACATTAGTTAGTATCATGAGAAGAAAGATAGTTACAAAAGAAATACTATTTCAATATCTAGATGAGAACAATGTATCATTCAAGAGCCCAGCCAGTAAAAACGATCTTATAGATAGGATAATCGAATATTGGAACGAGTCGCTAACTCAAACAGTTCTTGATGAGCCAGTTTCCTCAGATGTCAAAGAAACTTCACCAGGTGAAAGTGAACAAGTGATAAGTCAATTGGCAGATCAGTTTGCGAAGTGGTTTTACACTATGTTAAACTCTGATGAAGGAGTTGGTACTGAACATTTTTATGCTAATGCTAAACTGAAAATAGCTATAGTGACTGACGAAGGTTGTGATCTGAAAGAAGTTGAAGATAATCCAGAAAAGTTACAACACCAGTTATACTTCAATCCAAATTTCACAAATGAAGGTATACAGGGAAGAATAGATCCACATGGATTAGTAATGGTGTTCACATGTGGAACCCTACATGTAAAAGATGCAATCGTAGGAGTGTTTGAACAAGTGTTTTCATTAGCCAGAGACCCATTCTGTGACAATAACTGGACGATTAAAAAACAGAACTTAACTTACGAAGTAAAAATAGCACTGTAGGGCAACCACAAATATGTGATAGTGAAACATCAGATATGCTAGCCATTGCTCCAACCACTAGGTAACCATTGTAATGTAGGTACTATAAGAAAAGTCGGCTATAAGGATTGTAAACTACATCAAGAGTAGCGCTTTGAAAAGTCGGTTATTTACTTTACTTTGCGAGCATCTCGATTATGATCACAAAGTTCTTCTGTTCCATACAGAAGTACTGTGCAAAGGGAAAATGTTGGTTCGCCTTTATGAATTGAAAGAAGAGGTAATTATTTTTCTTGAATTCAAAGAAAAGCACGATTTCTCGACAATGTTCAAAGATGACATTTCAATGGAGCTTGGCTTATTTAACTGACATAGCTAAAATTGAAATTTCATGGCAGAAATCAAAAAGTGTCTTCTGAAAATATTATATTTTCTTCTCGGCTGTTCGAAGCAACTAAAAATAACATACTGGACGCAAATTTAAAAGAAGACATAAAAACTGATTTGCAAGCGCTGGAAGACGAATTTCGCCGATACTATCGAGACATCAATTCAGAGTCAATATATGGCACATGACGAGAAATCTATTTGGTGTCGATGTGTCACAATTACCAGAAGAAGTTCCGGAAGAACTTCTAGAAATGAAAGCTGATTCGTCCATGAAAGATGACTTCCGTCTTTTAACATTGGAGAAATTTTGGTTCAAAAGGTTGCCTGTTAATTCGACACTTGCATCTCTTGCTTTACGAATACTAGTTCCTGTTTTTCAACTTTTGTGAGACAGGCTTTTCTGCTCTAGTTTTAATTAAAACTAAACAGCGAAATCGTCTTGATGTCGATAGCGGCCTGATGATAGCTCTGGCAAAAACAGAACCTAGAATCAACCAACTGACACAGAACATGCAATCTCAAGTGTCTCATTAGTACCTTTTATTTTATTCAAGTTTTTTGACAAAAAACATTTATTGGTTTATTTAAATTTTTAAAGTTTCTTTATAAGAATTAAAATAAAAGTCTTTGTACCTATATAATGTGCGTTTTTTCTATTTATTGAAAAAGTAAAGGGGGGCATGAAAATATAATTTATATTCCGGGGAGCCTCAACAATAAAAAAAGGTTGCGAAACCCTGCTCTAACTACATAAATATATCCACGCAATTTTAACAACTACTCAGTGTGAGTGTCCCATTTTAATTTGATGACCTAAATACCTGTATTGTGGAAACTAAGCATCCTAGAAAAAAGCTTCAAACAAAAATTGGAGCGTTTCGAGGGGACAACATGGCCTTGATCAAAACCTTCACCACGCCCTTCAAGATCAAACGCATATATTTAAATGGGACCCTTTTTACACCGGAACTGGAAAGAGAAGGAAACGTTACGTTCGAATACGAACTTGACTATACGAACTTCAAGGTCATTTCAAGCTGAAGTGAAGACATTGAAGACAAATGTGATCTTAACGTTGACCATGACTTTCAAGGTCAAGTCAAAATTTTCAAAGGAAACCCCTAATTTTTATCCCAGAACTGGAAAAAGGCGCAAATGTAAATCTCCGAATGTGACCTTGCCAATCTTAAGTGTTTTTTGTAATGCAACTCTTTGATTTTTGTCGATTGCAGAGACCAAGAAATTTTATATTTGAACGTGTACAATTTTGACATAGCCTTGAAGGCCAGAGCAAATTGTTTTCATTGTCTTGGTCTGACCTTGAAATGACCTCGATGGTCATACGGAGACGTAAAATGTCCTCCTGTTTCCAATTCCGTAGTAAATAATGGAGAGTCCATTTGAAAATATCCGCTTGACCTTGAAATGACCCTGAAAGTTGTTGCGGTCAAACTCATGGTCAACGTAACTGTCATTTTTCCCCTCGAAACGCTACAACTTTTGTTTGAAACTTTTTTCAAGGTTGTGTAGTTTTCGAAATGTTTAGGTGGAGAGGTTAAAATGGGACGCTCTATATATAGACAACCCATCCGGAAATCACAGAATCTCTCGGATTGTCCCTGTGAAGGAAACATAGCTTTCTATAAAACAGCTGCAGATCCAACAGTAAGCTATTACAGAAGCATTTTGGCGGCCGAGAGATACTGGTGCACAGACCATTCCATGCAGTGAGTCAGATCCTTCCTTCTAGTGATTCGATTCGATGGTTTCGATCACAGTCTAGGAACCGATTTCATCGATTGTTAACAAACGCTACAAAGGAACGATATCGCAGAAGGAATGACACCGCAGTGGGAACCGACTCATATAATTACCTTTTAAAGTCTCCAAGTGATTAACGATCCACTATTTGTAGTGTATATGTGCTTTGCCATTGGTCGGCCACAGGGATTATAGCATGGAATAAATTGGAAGGGGTGTTCAGAGGTACCAACTGATACCCCTCCAAAAGTACTTTTGACAAGTTTATACAATTTTCAATCTTCAATGTCCAATGTATAAGCTGGACTTGTATATTCTTGTAGCAATCACTGAAGTAACACTTGACCTTGAAACGTTTTGTGACTTGTTCGGTCTTGGGGGTAACACTCAGTCCAACGGTGACGAAGTAATTTCTTTTGCCACTACTTGGCTTAGAGTTTCGCAGCCTGAAGTGCTTTACAGTTTGCTTTCTTTTATAGCGCAAGACCTTTTATCATCTCCACTTCAACTGAAAACAGGAAACACCTCCTGGAATACCCCTCGAGTTTACTTAAATGGTCTTAGATTTCCTTGGATTACGTCGGTGTTCCTTGGATTCCCCACTGAAAATGACTGGACTATGGATGCACATTCTGTGGCTGCCTCTCTCCTACGCTTTGCAATGTACGTGCACACGCGGTGCAGCGGCCATCGTGAATTATTGCCCTCGTTATACGTTGGCAAAAGAAAACATCAACGACCAAAAGAGAGAAGGGTCCGTTACCTATCTATTCCTACTCGGAGGTCGGCACGGTCAGGATTTATTTCCAGAATTCGACAGCCGTTCGCTCAGGAGAGTGATGAAACCAATGTTCAATTGGTGCATAGTGACATTCGGAAAGATCAATCTAATGATTGGATGCAGAAGTAGCTTTTCAAGCAACGCTAGTGGACGAAGCTTGCACATGTACAAGTTATTCGTCTTTCCTGTATTCGAAGTTTCAGTGGAACTAATACTTGCTCATTTCCTGAATTGAATCATTGCGCTCATGAGTTAGTGCCAAAAGAGAAAAAAAAAAACGAGATTCCATTGTTGCTTCAACAAAAGCAACCAATGGCATTTGAAGAGATGAATCGAAGTACAGTTGCAGAATGAACTGGTGAAGCCTAGAAATCAACTGTTTGTTACGGGTTTTCTAACAGAACGCAACAGAATAACATGGGATTCGATGATGGGCACCTCGTCTGCCTCATCTGCAGAATCAGACTTTCATGTGAGTACGAAGCACTAGATCACAAAAGGCATCAACTCTTCCTCAAACGAATGGAGTTAACCGAAACTGCACCAACTGGTACAGAACAGTGGACTGCTGGATTGGGTACTGTTATTTTCAAGGAACAATAAGACTTGTACCGAAGAATAGTTGCATGATTAACTGGTGAAGTCTAGAAATCAAATGTGTATTTAGGGGTCTTCTAACAGAACGGAACTGCATAACATAGAATTCGATGATAGGAACCTCATCTGCCTCAACTGCAGAATCAGACTTTCATTTGAGTACGAAGCACAAGGTCACAAAAGGCATCAACTCTTCGACAAACGAATGGAGTTAACCGAAACTGCACCAACTGGTACAGAACAGCGGACTGCTGGATTGGGTACTGATATTTTCAAGGAACAATAAGCCTTGTACCGAAGGACAGTTGCATGATTAACGGGTGAAGTCTAGAAATCAAATGTTTAGTTAGGGGTCTTCTAACAGAACGCAACTGCACAACATAAGGCTCGATGATGGGGATCTCAAGTGCCTCACCTGCAGATAAAGTAAAAGAGAAGTAGAATCAGCTTTTTATTTCTTTTGTGAGTACGAAGCGCTAGATCACAAAAGGCATCAACTCTTCCACA